TGTAAACCATGTGTCCGAAATCTGGAGTAAAGTATAACGTGATCATACACCAAGAACAGACATGACGTAAGATGGTCGTAAGAAGGACAATGTGGACTACGGTGTGTTCCTCTGATGTGATCGATTGTACACGAAAGCGATGTCTAATATATAGTAATATACCTCAACTCTCACGATTTATGACACTTTCACTTCTACGTCAGATGTAACCTTCAATGATGGGGGAACAGTCTATGTCTACGATGAACTAAGTTTGTGTGACATTAATTATATCGGGACACAGTTCATCCACCATCAAACTTAACTCGAGCGCTTTATTTCTGAGACTACGAGCGTTCGTGTAGCACACAATTAAGGTGTTTTGAGGATCACTCGTTCTATCAAAACAGGTCTCGAGAGTATTGGCTTCGAGGACCTGATCACCCGAAAAACCTGAGTTCGAAGGTTCGTTTCACCATTTAGCTTTCACGTTTTCAATTATGTAAGGGCATTCTTCCATTTGGTTCGATCCTCATGTAGCCAGTCTGGTCGGACACGAATATATAAAAGACGGGTTTTCCATACATTATTCAGTATGACGTCCCTTCACCTCATAACGTCCGGGTACTAACTTTGAGATCCTTCGTGGTTGGGTCTCGTCTCCAACCCACCAAGGTAGTCTTATTAATTTCGTAATATATACTCTAGAAACCTCCTTGCGAACTCAGATTCAAAGAAATTCGCATCGTGTGTGTGCCTTCTAGCAGAGTCATTATATTTTGACTCCTCCAGATTTAAAAAAATTTGACTTCTTTAAAAGTCGTGTTCGCGGCTTTCGATCGTGATGTCATAACCTGACTGCATATACCAGAGATTTATCTTTGGTTGTTTTTGGGTAGGTTGAGCGTATTACTAACTACAGTATTCGATGAGACTAAACTTTTTTCAATGCTAGAGTTAAATATTGTTTTACTTTGGGACTCGGCATAGTAAACTGCGCCATAGAGTGTGTGCCCACGAAAGACCTGTCAAATAAACGGGCGCGGTTTGTGGCTATTTTCTTCTTCCATGTTTTCGCACTATCCACCATTTAACATCGGTCAGGTCATCTACATCTAGACTACTCGGGACGGTGACAGTATTATGTGTCACCAGTTGCTACTGCAGTAACTTGAACATCACTATATAATGGTATTTCACTCTTTAGTTGTGTCAGGAGAGATTTGTCCATTGCATGTTGCACGGTCGAAAGTTTGACACGTCCCGTAACACTATTTACTACGTTGACACATTTTTCGTTGTCGGTACCTATATTACCAGTCTAGCTATCATCTACCATTTTGCTGACTAGCACCAGAAGGTTACTTGCCTCTTGGATGAGAAATGTTTTGCTCGAACAACAAAATGTACGAAGCCAATGAGAGTTAGTTTTTGAACACCTTTAGTATGTGGTGGGAATTACACGTGTGCACCGCCTATTGCACTTATCATATTGCATTCCTTCCTCCACAGGGAATAAACAATTTGGCCGTATACATTTGCGAGTAAGACCAATCATTTTAAAAATCAACTAGGAAGAACAATTCTAAACATTAGCAGGAATAAACGAAGTCACAGTCGATCAAGTTGGCTATGAAACCTCTAACCGACCAACTTCGTGGAAATGCGAAATTCAGCAATTTGGATGATAGCGCTTGAAAAGCATCATCCACAGTTAAGGAATTTATCGCTGGAGCAACTATGCTTGCACATCAGGACATTCAAGCACCACTCCTGACAATCTTCAGCATTCTCCTCCAGACGGTTGCTAGACGTGGAATCGACGTACAGCACATTCGGTACGGAACTCCTAGCTATGTATTGTGCTGTACGGCATTTTCATCACTCTGTCGAAGGCTGTGAATTAACCTTTTTCACCGACTACAAACCGCTTACCTTTTCTTTGACCCCATCGTAAGAAAAGTACTTACCTCGTGAGTCTCGACTACTGGACTACAAGTATAGGAGTTGTGGAGATTATTAAGTTTTTGATTGAGATCATGAACCAATTGATGTTAGACCATCAAAATTGAAAACCTGGAAGCACTGGACGGCCGTTTCGTCCTATTGTGGGACTCCTCAGCAGTGCGCATCCACGATCCCACGAGCGGGATTCGAACCCAGGGCCTTCGGTCTCGCGCGCGAACGCTTAACCAACTGGACCACTGAGCCGGCATCCAATGGTGATAGTTTTTAACATCAACCAATCCACTCCACAACTCCTATACTAGTAATCAACATGTGCTCACTAGTGACTAGCTTCGTGAGGGAATTCTCGGAGTTCTAGCGAGACGCCGTGACCAGTGGAGCTAATCCTTGTCGGGTAGAGACAGTTATCTACCTCAGTACAATGGAAGTTGGTCGCGCAATTTCAAGGATTGGTTGATGTTAAAAACTACCACCACTGGATGCCAGCTCAGTGGTCCAGTTGGTTAAGCGTTCGCGCGCGAGACCGAAGGCCCTGGGTTCGAATCCCGCTCGTGGGATCGTGGATGCGCACTGCTGAGGAGTCCCACAACAGGACGAAACGGCCATCCAGTGCTTCCAGGTTTTCAATTGTGATGGTCTAACATCAAATGGTTCATGATCTCAATCAAATACTGGACTACAGTTCGCAATTTACTTCAGAGATTAAACACATTTCTGGAGCAAACATTGCAGTTGCAGACGCCTCGTTTCGTACAATGTCCTTAAACTGTTTTCAAGGGATCGACTTTCTCAAACATGCCTAGCTTCAATAACCCTAAAACTGCTCATTGAACAGATGCGAACAAGTGAGGAGACTTTGCTATTTGACACACCGACAGGTAGGGATCGCCCAGTCGTGCCGAAAAGTTATCAATGCAACATCTTCACTACGCTGCACGAACCTTGTTATCCATGTGCTCGTGTAACCATCAAGCTTATAGCAGAAAGATTTTGCTGGCCTAGTATGAATAAAGACGTGATGAAGTGGGCAATTCCCTGTATAAGCTGCTAGAAATCTAAGGTGATTAGACAACAACAAATGCCCCTCAGGTTCATTCAAAACTCTCGATGATCGTTTCGACCGTGTTCATCTGGATTTAGTAAGACTCCTACCACATTTAATTGGATACTCTTGTCTCTGAAATTGTGTAGTCCGATTCGCTCAATGTCCAGAAGCAGTACCTGATGTTTTCGTTCAACCTGACTCCCGACGACCTTTCGAATCAGTACACGAAGGACCTCTCATAGTTCTTCAACGCGAACCTAAGTACTGTATAATCGATAAGGACGGAACCAACGATAGCATCAGCATCGATCGCCCCAAAGCAGCGTATTTAGGGGGAAATCCTATCTACGTCGGTTTTACTTCAGTACAGTCGAACGACATGACCCCGAAACTTATAATACCTCATACAACAGCCGACAGGCACGTTGATACTTCGACAGTATCTGAAAATAAGTTCTGGAAGAAGAGTAAGATTTCCAGAACATTTAGACGACTATTGCACGTAAGACAACAGTCAACACTTTGCTTTATCTCGATCTTCCATGACATTTTTATGTAATATAAAAAAACAACCTTTATATGCTCATATTTATATATATTTATTATTTTGCTAATATGTATAACAAAAGAAAATTTAAAAACGGAAAAACATTTTGTAAAAATCGCTTTTACGCTATTTTTCTTTTTAAGTCCACTTTGTGTCGTAAAGTGCGTACTCCTTTAGTTCGACATGCACTTAAATATTCTTTGTTTTTCCAGGACGGCTGAAAATGTCGAAAAAGATCGACGAATTTTACGATGAACCGAATTTCTCATTGTACTTTGTTTCTGTATTACTGCACTTCATGGTCCCTTAAAGTAAGGAGAGACGACCAGACGTTGCTAAATATAGCAAGCTACCAGAAGAGTGTTAGCCAATGACAGACTCGTCGAGTTTATACTTCTGGCTGGTCGCGTCTTTAGGTCATCACTACCTCAATAGAGGGGAAGGAAGCGATCTGTGGCGGCAAATAAATCCCCGAAATAAACAGCTTGTAAGTCTTCGACACTGGGTGCTGATTACATTAATTTTAGTGGATTCACCTAGCTTAAGGCGCTCGGTCATGCATCCGCACCAGATCACGAGTGGGAACGCCGTGCTCAACAACCTCTGCAATCGCTAGCCAGATTAGATCAGACGATCCTCAATATATTGGTAGCCTGTCAAATATATCTTCGAACCTCCTCGCTTCTGCCTTTTGATTTTATTTGGTGGGTACGCTTCATATTAGGTGTTACTGGCTAAAGCGTTTTCGAACTCCAAATACCTGTGACATCTTCATTTTTTTCAAATGGTCAACACAAGGTATAACGATTAAAGTAAATATAATTTTTATACATCTAACTTGATGTTCAGTGAGGCCCCAGGCTAAAAGAAGAAAAATTTGGGATCGATTGTAGATTTAAAGACTAGATAATTTACAACCCTAATATAAGGAAAAAACGAGTAAATTGAATAAAGCTCCGTCATGATGGAGATTTTAAGAGTGGTATTGCCCAGAAGTCGATCGTATTTTCCTGTGCTTTAATTTCAAGCTAATGGTATACTCTTTTTCTTTAAAACGACAATAAGTTCTGGAGACTTACATGAGTTATGATTGAGAGGACATTACTACAGGGCCTAATAATCTGATATGGCATTTTTGGGAAGTTCAGAAACTGAGATCGAATCATCTATATCATTTTCGTTTCAAGCTCGGTGGTAAATTACTTGAACTCCCTACCAGAACAAGCAATGCATATGGATAAATTCAAAGAGAGAGTGAAGCTCCATAGTACTATAAATCGTGAATATATGTACAGGTAACTTGGCATTCTATAGACTGAAAATCGGTTGGAACATCCTTCCAAAACAAGGAGTATTAACCTGATTGAAAAACATCGTCTAGAAAAAATTGAATCTTCAAGAGGAAGCACAGTGCTTGGATTAACACGAGTCAATTTACCTACTATCCTTAAAACAAAACACTGAACATCAAGAAGTGTGGTAAACAATATAAGTAGAGCGCCAATATGAACTGGTTTACACCTTGCATAAATCTTATGGGATTCTCTGAATGCTTTTAACTGTCAAGTAGATAAGTTTAGATTTTCCCCTGTTTTCGGGTTAAGGATTAATAAGGATCTGATATTGAGTATTTCCCATCAACAGTAGCAGTTTTATTCGTGTACTCAATGACTGGTTACAAGAGAGCCAAACTCAGTCAACTAAATAGATTGGTCACTTTGAAAAACAAAATTTCTACACAAAAACAAAATGTTTCCAATGCTGCATTCAAATCTATCAGTGATATACACTTTGCGAAGAAGCTGGGAAGCTTACTGGGACAGGCTACATGTACTTCGTATCCAGATCATCAGATAAAATCGATTCTTTGCTCTGTTGATGTAATAAAGAACAACTACTTGCGCAGTGGACGTCTTCGCAAGGAAGCATGTGAAACTTCGGACTCCATAATTAATCCTTATGTACCGAAAGGCCATCAAGCACTCTCCGATCTATCTGGCCTTTTAGAACGTGATGTCTCTATCCACTTACCCTTACTAGAGAAGAAGTATAAACCTCCCACTCTCTGTAAAAACATTGAAACTCACCCCAGTCTTGTAGAATATAATCTTTCAGATGATGATAACTAACGATCCATTGTTTAAAACTGAAAAAAGTTTGTCCAAATACAAAGTATTTCTCAATCCCGACTTATTGAACCTGTGTGGGATTTGGTTGACTTTAAAACTTTTGCAGATTTTTGTCATTTCCACTTCAGCCTTCGTATTTGCTGCTTGCCTGTTATTTTATTGGCGAATCAACAATCCTGGTAGTAGAAAGTCACTTCATGGCTTTAATGTCTTAATTACTGGTGGATCAAGCGGAATCGGTCTATCTCTGGCTAAGCTGTTTTACGGAGGTGGTGCTAATGTAACAATCGTCGCTCGAGACCTGAAGAAACTTGAGTCTGCACGGGGAATTATAAAATGTGAAAAAGATAGAAATAACAATGTCTTTATTTTGTCAGTTGATTTGACTTCAGAGTATAATGTTTTGAATGAAATCTTCAGCAAACATGTGGCTACTCATGGTAAGATAATGTAGCACTTTTTAAATTGTCGCTTTAGCCTTGTGGACTTTTAGTTTTGATAACGTACTGTATGGGGACAAGTACCACGACATTTTATGCTGGTATATAACTCGCTGATTTTTCTTCCCGTCCTTACTTTTAGTTTAGATGGAAACCACCAAACACCCCTGACTGTTCTCTTCACCCATGCTTTCAGTACTAACTAATATCAAGTAGCATCTATGTGTAGTTGCTGACATACATACCAGTAAGGAAATAATGAGGATCAGGACGTGTACTAAGGTTTTGTGGACTCGTGATGATCCAGTTGTTACGTCGACAGTTTGTTACGTGTGGTCGTCGAGTTATATTTTTATGTTATTGTAATAAAAAGGTTCGTCTAGCGTTAACCATTCGTTTGGCTTTCTTCTTAAAACGTGTAATTGAGACTAAGCTTGTTATACACATTTGGGGGGGGATATATTCTAACCACTTTTCCTTTATCTAGTCACTAAATTATAACGATATTCTGATAAATCTGGGTCTCTGAACTTAGTTTAGCTACGTTTTTGTCTGTCTCATTTGAGCACAGTAATTAGTAGACCACTAACACTGTATTCGCTTCACAGGATCTTTCACTTACAACTACTTATTTAGACCTAGTTTACTGACACATGATTGTCTCAGTCAGTCAGCCAGCTACAACGTAGGACTAGGCATATATGTGCATCGGTCCAAGTTGCTATACCTCATTAGCACAACAAGATGAACACCGGTCTCATAGAAGTAGTTAATTCAGTGGTGGTAATATATAAGAGAAAGATTGCACATAAGGATATAGTACAGGAAGAGAGAATTAGTTCGTAGAAAGAAAGATATGAAGCGATTTTAATCTCTTAGTTTAAGGGAAGGCAGAGAGTGTATACATCGACGCTAATGTGATCGATTCTGAGCCATGTCACCCAGAGTCCCCAATCATTGGTTACGATAGTCACGCGGACCCCAACCGAGTACTCTGCATCTACAAACGTGGCTCAGACCAGAAGCTAGTGACTTCAAGCGCCTATGCCACATGATTGTCTAGGGTTAGTTGTGTAGATTTGTGTAATGTCATTACCACCCTCAGTATGTTCTACCCGGGGTTGCAACATTGCTGCTTAAGAGCATAGTTATAGATTCAGCAATTATTAGAACAAGTGAGAAATTGTTTCAACTCACATGCTTATCAATTCTGAGCTTAGTGTCTAGTCCTCTTCTTATTTCTGTCTTAGCATTTTCGTTGATATTTGTTAGGACGTCTGTTGTGATTGCCCCTTGTTTCTTATGTGGCATAGTTAGCGGTTAAAGAAAAACAATTTGAGTATATGTCTTTTAATACTAGGGCAGTAATAAAGAGAGATAATGAAACCAAAACTGTGGGCACGTACCACACTAATGATCTAAATACTCATTGCGAATAGATGCGTTTTGAAACTTTCGCGTTAATTTCTACAAGACGGTAGGATTTGATTTATTGTGTAGTACTAAAAGCATTTATTGTTGTGTGGAACTAGATTCGATGGGATACGTCTTTCTATTTTTGTAATATATACTGGGCTAGTAATATACGACACAACTATTTAAGAAATAAAAAGTATTTATTCTTTTGAACTGAGACATTTTTTATTAATTTTACGTTAAGGGGTCAGAAGGTTAATATCTTTTGTAAAGTTATGGAAGGTTAAGTTATATTGAAGACTACTCTTGATGTTAATACAGTATCAGCCAAGTCTGTTTGTTCATGAGCTAGTCTTCGTAAATATTCAGTTGCAACACCGAAGCTAGAACTTTCTCTGAGTACCAGTTAACATCTGTCATAATTCCTTTCATATTTTATCTGTTTTCAACGTTAGATGAGAGCGGCATTAATCCCAATTTTCTAATTATAGAACTAATATCATCCAGAGTGACTTTGTGTTTCTATGTATTACAGGACCCGTTGATATTTTAGTGAATTGTGCTGGCTATGCTGTTGCGCGCAAGTTTTTGGATACTCCTACTGATGATATCCAGGGAATGTTACATCTGAATTACTTATCTGCTGTTCATGTGACAAAAATTTTATTGCCCTACATGTTAGACCAGAAAGTTCACCAGACTCATGAACGACGCATCGCCTTCATTTGTAGTCTTGCCAGTCAAGTGGGTGTGTATGGTTATGCAGCGTACACGGGTAGTAAATATGCTTTACGTGGTTTCGCGGAGACACTGGAAATGGAGTTAGGATATAAAGGCCCATTTGTAACAATCGCTTTCCCACCAGATACAGACACTCCGGGATACATTGTAAGTTCAACATTCATCTTTCTGTAAATCAATAATCGTGTCGGTCAGTCAGTCACAACGTAGAAACTGATACGTATGTACATCGTATTATATAACTCAATCATTCGAATAATCATTATAATGAATATAACTAACATTTTACTGTCGATGCCACTTCTTCCAGTCACTTAACATCAAGGTATAGTGAACGTGATGTTGAGTCACTTTAGACTAGTCGCTACGTTGAAACCTGATAGGTATAGTTCGATCAACACTGAAGACTGTATAATCATGATATTGGTTATTCCTCATTAATCAATCAATTTACTGAGTTTTCATCAGTCATCAACTTAGCGGGGATGGCTGGACCTCTAATGACAATGAAGTAAACAACGCGCTCAACTACTTCACCTAATGTCGAAGTGTTCTCCAGTGTAGACTGATTCTTGAGTAGACGTTTACATTGTGGATAGGCATAGCATTGATTTTGAACACTGTTGGGTTGTCAGTCAAGATGTCCGGAGAGTCTTGTTTTTTTCATTCTGAGTGAATAGGACTTTTTATGGACTCCGAATCTATAATTGAATTTCCGGGCAAGAAATCGACCTTCACGAACTAAGGGAAAAAAACGCATCACCTCTCTGATAATGCTATTACTTATACCTGCAATCTCTATTTCAAAAACCAAATGCTTTTTAGAAGTCATTGTCATTTGGTAAGAACAGCACTGAAGTATTCTTAGTGACTGAATAAATTTGAGCATAATGCTTTATTCGTCAAACACTGCTAATAATAGGAAAGCCCGATTATGGAATTTTTTCTAATGTCTGTCTTTCGTTAGTAATAATAATTTGATCTAAAATAATCCCCAAGAAGCTTTCCAGACTTTTAAATGTGTTGATAAAACTTGTAAACTCTTCAGTTTGTATGTGAAAACTTTGTAATGATAAAAATCATTGGTTACTGTGTAAAATAAGTTTAAGTGGTTATTTATTTATTATTTATTTATTTGAACACAAATATTGGTATACGAGTGCACCAAATATATATGCGCCACACAAAACAATGAGGATTTAAAGAGAAGGAAAAAAAGGCAAGGAGCGTAAAAAAAAAGAATAATAACGAAAAGATTGGTGTAAGGTAGTGTAATAATAATAATAGTAATAATGGGGGAACGGAAAGGTACAATTAGAAGTCTTTCAGTTAAGGAAGACAACCACTTTTTTATGAAGAAAGTAAAAGAAGGCGACAGCAGGATCGCCACTGGCTTCTATTCTGAGCCATATCTGATAACGTCTCTAGCCACTGTGTTGCACCATCTCTCGGACCCCAGCCAGGGAGTCGTGAAGGATCAACACAAGCCAGCCCTTCGCAGCTTTCTTTCATACCACGACACGTCATACACTGACCATCTCTCCGCCTTTTCCAACCAGTCCCAGAGTCGGCAAATAATGCACGACGTGGAATTCTCTGGGACGACATTCGTAAAATATGTCCGAGTCACCGAAGTCGGTGTTTTAAGATGGTGACACCAATTAGATTATCGTCTCGGCGCCCGAACACACGATGCCGAACCTCTACATTACTAACATGATGTTGCCACTGGACGTCGGCAATCCTTCGGAGACAACGATGATCGAACACAAAGAGTCGTCTAACGTCCTCAACTCGGAGAGGCCAGGTTTCATAAGCATAGAGCAGAACTGCTCTCACCGACGCGTTGTAAATCCGACCTTTTACAGCCAGACTAACATCACGAAGGCGCCAAAGATGGCCTAGATTGGCATAAGCCGCTATGGCTTTCACTATACGTGCATTGATCTCGTCACTCACCCCCACCAGCACTTATGCAGCTACCTAGATACACGAACTTCTCGACTACTTCTATCTGTTCACCATCCAGGGTGAGTACAGGATTGGAATCCTGCCAGTCTTGTAGAAGTACTTTGCACTTCGAAGGTGCAAAGCACATACCATACCTACGGACACTGATTGACAACTGATTAAGTGCGGATTGCATGTCTTGGGCATTATCACACAGTAAGACAATATCATCCGCATACTTGTAGTGGCTGTGCTTCGTTATTTAATCACCCTCGAACCGTTATCGTATAATCTTCAACGATATTTGAAATCAGAAGGCAAAAAGAAGCAGCTACTACAGTTTTATTTAGTAGATAATTCGGACCAGACAGCAGAGAGGCAAAATGAATGAGCAAGCGAACTACGATTGTAGCAGTAGCAAGTAGCTGTAGTCAATGCGTGCAAAATGTACAGGTATATATATGTATAGGAAAATAGATGAGTCAGCGAATAGATTAAGCAGTTAATAATGAAGCTAGCAGAATGAATACATGCGTAGGCGCTAAACAATGTTCAAGCATATGTATTTCATACAAGCATAATAATAAAGATAGTACAACAAGTTGTTATATCATGGATGACTTTGTCCATTAAATAGGTCAACAAAAGACCTTGACTGAACTAAACTCGATTGCACGTGAGTCACTATAATAACTCCCCCTGCAAACAAAGATATATGGAAAAATGTCTGTGTTTGCACAAAAAAATAGTAAACTGAGTAGGGTAGTTACAGTCGTTTAAAAAAATGGTTTGTACAAAATTAAGATGAAGTTAGTGTGTGCTGTACATTTGGTTTGTGCCCGTCCGTGAGGTTATATAAAATAATAGCAATAAATAGAAGGAATGCGGTATTGCTTTACATTTTAAATAAAAATTATACGTGTAAGTGTAGGGGTACATAAGATATGTTGAGTTTTATAGCGTATAAAATGAAATTAGTAATGCATGTGTATACAATGAAGTGGAAGTTACAATTAATATTTAAAATAGTAGATTATTAATAGAAGATTGCAGCGACATAATGTTGGGGCCATCTTACTCTTCGGCCAGACCTTGTCGTTACTGGATTCTCTTTGTTTGTGTTCGTCGATGTCGTTGATGATTGGAACTGACGTTTCGATGATTCAACGTTCTTCGCAGTATTTGTATGTACTGGCTGATCGTAGGCTTCGATGAAAGCTGGTTTGACTCGGTCGATACTAATTACATCCGTTTTTCCAGCTTTGTCTACCGTAATAGTTTTGTCGTCTCTTTTAATCACCTTAAATGGACCATCGTAGGCCGGTTGTAAGGGACGTTGCACATTATCCCTTCTGATAAACACATGGGTACTGTCACTTAGTTGTTTGGGTATGTACACACGGCGTTGATGTTGTCTCGGAAGCGTTATCCTTAGACTACTCATATGCTGCTTAAGACGCTGTACATAGTCGGCTATATCAGTTGGAACGCTTTTACCTGCGGTGAAAAACTCTCCTAGCAGACGTAGTGTGGTTCCATAAACCAATTCTGCTGGGCAGCATTCTATATCTTGTTTGATTGTTGATCTTAAGCTCAACATGACTAACGGTAGCTTGCTGGCCCAATCATTATTGCTGATGACAGCTGTAAGGGAAGCTTTAAGTTGCCGATGCAATCTCTCTACCATACCATTCGACATCGGATGGTAGGATGTTGTGCGAATTCGTTTGATTCCGAGTAGTTCTGTGAGTTGTTGGAAGAGGCGGCTCTCGAATTGAGCTTCTCTATCGGTTGTAATATTAGTAGGTACGCCATAATGGGAGATCCAATGCTCTACTAGGGTTTTTGCGATAGTTTCGGCTGTAATATCTTTTATGGGCACAGCTACAGGCCATCGTGTGAATCTATCAATGCAAGTGAAAATGTAACTGAAGCCATTGGAAACCGGCAGTGGTCCTATAATATCGATATGTATGTGCTCGAATCTGTTATCGGGATGACGGAAATGACCTACTGCGGAACTGGTGTGGCGATGTATCTTAACTCTTTGGCATTTTACACACGCTTGCGTCCAATTACGAATATCCCGATTCATACTTGGCCATACAAAACGTTCGCTGATTAGTTTGATGGTGGCCTTTATTCCGGGATGTGAAATATTGTGCATGGCTTCGAAAATGTTTCGCCTTAGCGGTTTTGGAATAAATGGTCTTGGTTGACCTGTAGAAATATCGCAGGTGATGCTTACTTCTTCCAATGAAGTTTCTTTGAGAACTAACGAGGTTGTATTGGCAGACTTTAGTCTGTTTAACTCGACGTCGATATTTTGTAATGCTGCTAACTGGTGATAATCGATTTCGGACTGGACGAGAGCGTTGACCATCGTTCTGGATAGCGCGTCTGCCACGTCTTTACTATTGCCTTTGATATACTGTATGTCAGACATGAATTGGGAAATAAATTCCAATTGTCGGATTTCCCTCGGCGAGTAGTTGTCCTGTTTGGCGTTTAATGCTTTTGTGAGGGGTTTATGGTCTGTATATACTGTGAAAATGGTACCCTCAATCATATGTCGGAAATGTTTTATTGCCAAGTAAATCGCTAGGAGTTCTCTTCCGAAAGTACTATATCTTGTTTGTGTCGTATTCAGTCTTTTCGAAAAAAATGAGAGTGGTTCCCATATGCCATTTACTAATTATTGTAAAACGGCTCCTACCGCTACGTCTGATGCATCCGTCATGATAGCTAACGGTGTGTCGCTCTTTCGTCTAGTTAGCGTCACTTCTTTATTTAGCGCTTTTTTAGCGTTCTCAAATGCTTGAATCGCGTCTGGTGATAATTGGAATGTTCGTGCGTTTCCGCGTAATGCATCTGTTAGTGGTTGCAATATTGACGCACAATTCGGGATAAATCGTCTGTAATAGTTTATTAACCCGAGAAATCGGCGTAACTTTTTCCATGAGTCGGGTAGGGGATAATTCTTAATGGCGTCGACTTCTTTTGCTATTGGTGTGATGCCTTGAGAAGTTATATTGTGACCTAGGAACTGTAAAGATTCTTTTCCAAATTCACACTTCTCAATATTTATAGAAATGCCGTGTTCCCTGAGTCGCATAAATAATTGCCGTAGTTGTTGTATATGCTCATCTTTAGTGGTGCTAGCTACTAATAAATCGTCGATATACGCGTATACCCCA